ACGCACATCCAAACTCAGGTCACCAGGCTGGGCAGCAAGCACCTTTACCCACTCAGCTATCGGGCCAGCTCCAAGCTGGTTTTTAAATAGTCATCTAGTCTTGGTGAGGAGAGCTGAAATGTAACTGCATGTACTTTGTCTTGCAGATTCATCTTTTACAAGTCTACCTGTTCGAGAAGAAATGATGGCAAAATACTCAAACCTTTCCTTGGAGAGCCATAATATATCATGGACAGGTAAGTGGGACACATCCCAAACAGTAAAACGCCAAAATAAATTTTTAAAAGGCTTTAAACTAAGTCACTACTTTGGTCCTTCCCAGGTTTGGTTTTCTTTTTGGTTTTTCGAGACAGGGTTTCTCTGTGTAACCCTGGCTGTCCTGGAACTCCCTCTATAGACCAGGCTGGCCTCAAACTCACAGAGATCCGCCAGCCTCTGGGATTAAAGGCGTGCTCTACAGGCCCAGCTTTGGTTTTCAGTATGTGAAATGATAACAGAACTTTTAAATTAGTAAAAGTGGTCTGCTCCGGTAGCAACATCAAAACAACACATTTAGAATCTAAACTCTTTCATTCAGCCTGTTTATTACTTTAGTAACGAGCATTCTACTATTCCCACCCCCACCCCCCACTCCCATAGGTAGTTTACTGTTTCCCTAGTCTTGAACTGTTTCTTACTTTGTTTCATGTGACCAGAAAGTGTGTGGGGTAGATTTTCCAAGCCAATGTCTGTGAAATGTGTGTGCTGAGTATTTTAATGGAACATTTTTAAAAAACTTCATGCAGCTCTTGTTTATTCCCAGATGCTTCCATTCCAGCATTTGGAATTTATTCTTGTAAAAGTCAGTTCCATATTCCTGTGTCATTACTCTTTGTTTTGTGCGTATTCTACTTGTTGGTGCCTCTATGAGATGAATCGATTATTTAAGGGGGGCACAGGGGAGAATCTCAGTTTGCAAATTATTTGGCTAGGCTGGCCAAGTGGATTACAGGACACAGGTCTGACTCAGCACAGCCTGGTGCCTGGAAATCAAGGATTAATGCTCAGGGCCACAAGAAGAAATACCTCATTAACTAATATTGTGTTCAGTATTTACCTAACCTGCAGAAGATTTAACTCTTAGCTACTCTTTATTCTAATCGTTCAACTGAAACCAGATTCCTGCTCCCTATGAAAGGACCAATTGTTCACAGTTGCCCATTGTTTATTTGTTACCTTGATTTGTGCACACGGCATTCTGGCTTTGACCTTCTTAGTAGCCTCTGCACTTCATGTTGTCCAAGTCTGAACCAGCACCAAAGTGTGTCTTAAGAACCGGCGCCGCGGCCCGTTTATGACTTCTGTGGACTCAGTTGCTTGTCCATTCTCCCCCTTAGAGCTCCGGCTAGTCAGCCTGGCTTCCCCATCAAAGAAAGCCTTGTTTGACATCGAGACACTTGAAGATTTGGAGTCTGAAGCTTTTCTTCTGTTGCAACAGTTGTTAGGAAATAAAGCCTTTCTAAAGGTCTGAATTGGTGTTTATTTAAGGAGAGCAAAGACCTGACTCTGAGCTGTGGTGGCATTTTCATGGAGCCTTTTGGGAAACTTTGGTTGCCACCCTGTCAAAAATTCTCCTGTTGGGAGCTGTAGTTACTGGTCCATGGAATTTAAATTTGAACCATAGGCATTTTCTTACTGCCAGGCCTTTTATTTATTTATTTATTTATTTATTTATTTATTTATTTATTTATTTATTTATTTATTTAAAAGACTGTGGCTCATGAAAATTGATCGTAAACTTCCCTGGTCTCACCTCCCAAGTGCTGGCATGACAGGTGTGGGCCACCATCCCTAACTACTGGTCAGACTTTGTGTTTTCCATGAATGGTCCATTTTGCCAATAATGATTTCAGCATCACCCTTGTTTATAAATAGTACTCATGGCATCTCTCTATTGCTGGTTTCCTGTTTTCACTTTCCCGCTGGACATTTTGGAAGTTGACATTTCTATTAGGTTAATTTTTTTTTGAGAGAGAGAATCAAGTATAATACCTTAGTTACAAATCCTGGATCAGAAGGATGGCTTTGGCTGCACTCAATAAATTTATTTAGTGAGAAAGGGAGACGTGGGCCCTATGCCTGGAAGAAGGAGAAAGCATGGCCTTTGGTTTAAAACAGATCAACAGCAAAAAAACTAGTTGTTTACTTTTTTTAACACAAAAAAATTATTATTTACTTGAGAAACTCTTCCATGGTGTTGACTGTGTGCCATGTGTAATTTTTTTTTTCTTTATAGGTTTTATACTTCATAACAATTCTTGGAGGTGAGCGCTGTTGTTATTCCAGTTTGTAGTTGAATACAGAGACATACAAAGAGATTGAGTGGACAGACCAAAATCCCAAATGGGCATTGGGTTTTGCACCCAGGCAGTCTGGCGCCAGAGTCTGCTGGGCCAAATAACTTCTTAATGCCAGATTATTCATTTCTTTTAGCATTATTGCTATAACAACTATGCCTGTTTGAAGGTGAATGATAGAGTAGCTTTGGGGTGATATATTCAAAATCTATGAAAATAGGGTCATATTAAATGCTTTAACCCCAACTAGGTTAATTGTAGAGAGTGTGTTTCTGAGTAGCAGGTTTGTGGAAGTATAATAGATGTTACTAAGGAGGGAAAAGTCTCTCCCCCTCTCTGTGTCGTCATCGGGCTTTTAAAAGCTATCTTTTGATAATGGACTACTGGGCGGTCATTGTTTCCCTGGCTGCAATTAGAATGTTTCTATATTGTTACTTTCAGTGTTTTCTCTTTTCCGCTGCAAATTGTACTGTTTAGGGTATGGGTGTTGTGGCTTCAACAATGAGAAGAAAATCAAAACATCAGCTGGCCACTTTCTTGATCAGCCTGGTGGCGGCTGAGGTGAGCCTTTTACATTGTTGACCCAACCCACGTCGTGTTTACCAGCTGAGGTGTGAGCAGCTGACCTGGCATGGTCCCCAGGGGCGAAGGAGGAAGCATAAGCAGAAGTCCAGGAGGTGCACATATGCTAATCTAGCTGCCGCCGTCAGGTTTGGTAATGTCACCGGAGATGAGGAAATACAACCCTGTTGCCTAGCCACAGGCAGGCAGGACCTCTCGGGTTGGAGGGTCAGGAGCAGAGGACGCATCTGGTCTCTCCAGGATCATCGCTTGCCGCAGGGAAGATCCTAGTCTACTTTAATGGCCTGAAGCTGTTCATGATATTTTTTGAATCTGGTCTTTCATGGATGGCATAAAGACTGGTGATGTACAAAGAAGAAAATGTGAGTGAGCATTAACATTCACAGTGAGGGAAGAGGAAACAGGACATAGCTCCTCCTTCGTAGCAAATGCCCAGGGCAGCAGCAGCCGGCGGCTCTTGGCCTTTAACTGGGGTCTTGGTAGCAGAAATACTGACGTTTTTGGACTGGATGGTTCTTTGTTGCATGGGGAGGGCTGTTTGCGGCATTGTAGGATGGATAGTGGCATCCTAGGCCTTTATATTCAAGATGTGAGGCTGTATGTTCATGGGGAACAAATTTGTCCTTTTGCCTGTAAAAGAGCGTAGTTCTGTGTCTCGCCTAGCTTCTTGTCACTACAGTGGAATTCCTGAAGCAGGCTACTCCTGAAGAGATTGGTTTAGTCAAAGGTGCCCACAGGAGATGTTGAAGCCCTGTGGGAGGAAGCATTGTTGTGTCTTGAAACCCAAGGCAGGGAGAGAGAGCTCTGTGGGACCAGGCTGGCTGCTTGGTCAAGAGCTACCTGATTTCATGGTAGGGGCCCTAGTGACCTGAGGACCACAGATTAAGTCCCACCTCTTTTGTTCTTTGAGACAGGGTTTCTCTGTGCAGCCCTGGCTGTCCTGGAACTTGCTCTGTAGATCAGACTAGCCTCAAACTCAGAGATCCACCTGCTTCTGCCTCCCGAGTGCTGGACCATGTCTCCAGCACGTGGACCTTTGGGCTGACATCCCACATCGAAGCTATAGCACCCTGAAGCTCTTTTATAACTGCATTATGGGACGACACATGATTTAAACATCACAGCGTTGTGAACAGTTAATAAAGCTTCTCATCAGGAAATTAGAGGGCTGAGCTAACAGGCACAGGGCATAGCATAAGAGGGCCAGTGAGCAGGGCCAGTCACAATCCCACCTTCTCCCTCCTCCTTCTGGTGTTCAAATCCTGTCTTTCTTTGAGAATTTAGTCAAAAGCCATATCTTCGGGAAAACAGAGAAGTGCAGATTCTGTGGGCCTAATAGGCATTTATTGTTTTCGTTTTGCAACAGTGAGTTCATTTTTAAAACATTTTATCCAGCAGTACAGTAAATTCAAGGTTGTGAGCTCCCTTCTGACACTGGTAGGCATGTCTGAAATGTAGTAGCTGTCCTAAGTATACACTAAGTGCACGGGAAAGAAAACACAAGCTCCCCTGCAAAAAGAAAGAAAAAAAAAAAGTCAATGACCAGGGCATTACACTTGCAGATTCATGTTCTCTTGTTTCCTTGTGTTCTGGACATGATGCTTCAGTTTTTAGAGTCATACAGAGAGAGACACAGCTGTGACCACACAAAGGTAGGAGTAGATGTCTCAGAAAGCTGATCCTCCCTGGTGACACACAGTGGAAGATTTGACCTAAGGGAAAGAGCATCAGCTGATGGCACAGAGGGAGGATGAGTTGGCTTCTTCATTTTAGCTCCGTTCAGCGTTACAATCACAAGGCTCCGATCACTGCCAAAGAGAGGAAAATACAAAAGAAGTCCCCCAAAGCCTCCCAAAGCCCCCTGACTATTGGTAGACGTGAACCCACCTCAGAGAGGTTTGAGGTGCAAATTTCTAGTAGTTGTACCACCTGGGTGCCTCCACACTGAGAATGAACACGGAAGGAGCCCTTGCAGGTGTCTTCCCCAGGAAAGCAATGAAGAACACGGTAGGAAGACTGCATCCTGCGCCCAGGCTGTGCATCGAATGCTGAGAATGTGGCACCGGGCATGCAAAGAGCTTCAGAGCACCCCTAGCATACTCCACCAAGGAGCAGTAGGCTTAGCCACCGCCGACCCACACTGCACCGATACTCTGTGGAGACACAAGAGAGGAACTGTTGGAAATGGAAGAGGCATGGGCCAGGTGGCGGCGCACGCCTTTAATCCCAGCACTCGGGGATCTCTGAGTTCCAGGCCAGCCTGGTCTATAGAGCGAGATCCAGGAAAGGCACAAAGCTACACAGAGAAACCCTATTTG